ACTCCCCTGAGGCGCCCCGGAGCCCTTTCCTCCCCAGGCGGAAGCTGCGGGCCCGCCCCAGGCTCTGGCCCAGCCCACAGGTAGCAGCAAACTTTGGCTTCCCTCCGGACGGAGGGCCAGGGTTTGTGCTAGGCCCGGAGCAGTTATGTGGGGAGCGCAACACAGAGGGGCAGCTCTTTTGAGGCCCGGTTCCTGCCCGGGGGTCCTGCCCTGGTGCCCTCTACACCCTCCGTGGGCTCGCACTTGGGGCCGATGGGTGTTGCACCCCAGGGAGGCCCGGCTCTTCTTCCCAAGCCGTGGCTGGTTCTGAGGAGCCCGCCTGCTTCCCCCACCCCACCCACTTCCTTTTTGAAAGACCATTCCCGAGTTTCCACTGCTCAACATCAATATAAAAATCACTGTTTGAAACAACAGGATGGAGCCCAGTGGTATGATAATTCAGCCGGCGGGAAGTGGACACCGTCTGGGTGTGGGGGAGGCCACTGTGGTTCTCTCGGGCCCACCAAGTGCCAGGGCTTCAGCTGCCCTGCTTTGACTTGCCGGCCTCTTAAGAGGGCACTGCCCAGACCAGCCCGGGGGCTGGAAACCCTCCAGGCCGCCTCTGTCCCTCTGGCCAAATCAGAACGGGCTTGAGCCTGCTTCGTAGCCCTGGCCCTTGCAGGGCGCTCAAGCCAAGGGGCTGCTGCAGCTCTCTCTGCTGCTCCGAGGGTCGCTTCTACCTTCCATCTCCCTCCAACCCTCCAAAGGCCGCTGCCCTCCTCCCAGCCCAGATCCTCTTGCAGTGGGCTTGCTTGTCCTGTTGCATGACAGAAGAAGAAGAAGAGAAAGGCCTGAAAGGGTTGCCAGGAAGAGGGAAAGGCTCTTTGTCCACAGGAAGCGGGCAGGCAGCTGCTCCAGAAAGTCATCCTGGGGGGTTGCCCGGGTGGGGTGGGGAGAGAGAGAGAAAGCGCTGCTCTTGGACATTTCCAGCCCTTGAATGGTGAGGAAGGAAAAAGGCTTGAATGCCCCTTTGTGACCAAGGCTAGGCTAGGCTGGCACAAGGAGGGCCACTCCTGGAAAGCACCAGATAATGCCCTCATTGAGAATGCCGTGAGCTGCCCTTTATGGGATGGGGAGGGGGCCTGCCTCCCTCCCTGAGTGTGTTTGTGTGTGTGTGTGTGTGTGTGTGAGAGAGAGAGAGAGAGACAGAGAGAGAGAGAGAGAGAGAGAGAGAACTGCTTTGTTTTCTCCCTTCTTTTCCTTCTTTCCAAGGTGCCCGAATGGGAGCCACAATCAGCAGCGTGGCAATGGTGCCGTTTTGAGCTCAGCTACGCCCATGAGAGGAGGCAAGGCAGCTCCTTTCACTCACTAAGAGCTGGGAACACTGTGGCGCTTTGGCCGCGATGGGCCTCCAATGCCATTCATGCACCTGGCATGGGAGAAGGTGGCGGTTTCAGCATGGGGTCAGTACAGGCAGCAGGAAGCACTGGACACCTACCTCTAACGAGTGCCCCAATCAGAATGGGCCATCTCCTGTTCACTCTCTGCATCACCAGATACCCCAGCAGGATTAAGCCCAGAAGCAGAATGTGAACACAGAAGACAGACAGACAGACAGACACACACACACACAGAGATTTCCCATATGACCTCCTTATGGCTAGAGGGGAGGAGAAGCTGGCATAAAGATGAATCTGGAGCTGCTCAGCAACATCCAGTGAGCACAGAGGAACAGAGGGCAGAAATGGATGAGCAGCTTCACAAGGAGAAGCAAAGAACGCCTGGTTTTCCAGAAAGGTTCTTCCACGGCTTTGCAAGCTGCCCAATATGCTTGCAAAACTGTGCAAGCAAACGGGTGGGGCAACGGAAGTTGAAACCTGGGTGGGCTTCCGTTTCAGTGTGATTATACCTGAGACTCATACATGTTTCTGTCCTGAGATCTTCGCCTTTGGTGAAGGACCTCTTCCGACGGTCAGGGGGGCCCCTGCCTCAAAATACTTTGCATTCTCCTGGGAGCACCCAAAGGGCTAGAATCATTAGCCCCTCACCTGCAGAAAGGCAGAAAGGAGAGAAAAGGGGGCCCGCCCACCCCACTGGACTTTGGAGGAGAGGAGGGTCTGCCTCTCTTCTCCTCCCGCTGAGCTGGAGGCCTGAATGCTCTGCCAGGATTTGCTCAGGACACGCAGTGCCTGGAAGCCTGCCAGGGTTTTGAATTCAAAGCGGACAGCTTGTGCTCCTCCCTCCCATCCGCCTCTTCCCCCCCCCGCCCCCGCGGCTTGCAGATGCCCCTTCCCTGTGCCTCAAACTCTCCCTTGGTCCAGCCAAGGCTCTGGATAGGGTGGGGCGAGGCAGGGAAAAGGAATCTTGGCTGCGGCTTGCACCCCGCCCCTCCTCTGGGATTGCAGCTGCAGCTGGTGGGGGGGAAGGCGCCCCCTCCCTCTCCTCAGTGGGCCTTCGTGGGTTTGGGCCCGGCCAGACGAGAACAGCACAGAACAGAGGTTTTCTCCTTATGCTTCATGGGGCCACCAATCCCCATCATGTCCTGCTCCATGAGATCAAAGTTGAGGCTTCTAAAGGCTAATACTGTACAGTATTCTTTTCAAACCTCTCGGCCGTGGCCTGCATGGCTATGCTGGTGCTTCGGGAACGTGGAAACTCCGAGGTCAAATGACCCAAAGACTGACAGGACAGCACAGAGTGATTTTTGACTGCATACACAGAGTTGCTTGCCTTAAAAACAGTTTTTTTAAAAACTAAGATTCAGATATTCAGAAATTCTCCAGATTCCAAGCAGCTGCAGCATCAATGTCTCTCCAGGATGAGGGGAGGCCTGCAGTTGGAAAGCCGCATCCCCTCCCTCTCTCAGCTGAAGTGGGGGGAGGAGGCCCCTGCCCTCCTCACGCCCTGCACTTCTTTGGGGCAGCTAGAGGGGCACCATCACCCTGGGCTCCCCGGCTGAAGGTGGAGCTTTCCATCCCTGTGTTTTGTCCAGGCTGCCAGGCCAAGACGTCCCGCAGCCCCTCAGGTCTAGCCCAGGGACAGCTGGAACTGGCAGCGGCGCCCGCTCTCTGGCGCAGGCCATGCTGTAGGACAGAGAGGCTGCTGCCCACGGTGGTTGGGGGGAGGGGTTCCCATTTCCTGCCCTGGAAAGGAAAGGATTTCCTGCAGGCCCAGAGCGATGGATGGAACCCGGTCTTGTTCTCTGCTTGAAATACCAGTGGTTCCTGCTGGGAATGGGAGGCGCCCTGGCAAGCAGCGATGCCTGCATGGCGGTGCATTTGCTACCTTTCCCAGCTGAGAGCAAAGCCAGGCAGTTTTCAGCTCCTCAGAGTGAGGCCCGTCTGACCAGAAGGCAGGGGCCGCAAGCTTTGTGCCTGGGATGCTGGTCTGGAGGCTTTTGGGACGCTTGCGGGGGAGAGACTCGGGCGACAGGCTGCTCTCGGCTCTGGGTGGGAGCCCTGGCGGTTCGGGACCAGCCCGGCCATCGGGCAGAGTGGGGCAGCTGCTTCCATTAGAAAACTCCCGGTGCTGAAGGTTTTGTCGACATGACTGCATTTTTGCAGGCAAGGAGAAGAGAGTTGAGAAGCTCTCCCGTCAGGCCAGGAAACCTCTCCCACCCCCCCAGATGTGCACAGGCTGCCTGGAGCTGAGGAGGTGACAACGGGTGGTTTCCATCCTGGTTATATTTAGCCCTCATGAACTCATTTCATGACTTCCAGCCTCAGCGGCCTGGCCTTCCCACAGCTGTAGTGTGCTGGCTGGCTGCCGGTTCAGGCTCCTCCTGTGTCACGTGTTGTTGTTTTTCCCCCAAATTTGGCATCTGCGTTTGGCCAAGAAGGCCATGTTCTCTCTCACGTGCAGAGCGGCCCTGCCGAAGAGGGACCCACTTTTCAGACACTTTTTGTAAGGCGAGCCACCTCCTCGCTCTGCAGCCCTTGTCTCAACCATCCCTGTTTCCCCGCGCGCGCGCGCTCGGCCTGGAGCAATGAAGAGTTGGGAAGATCACGAGGTGTGTAAAGATCACGAGGTGCATAAAAGGGAACAGCCATCTGGCCTGCATGAAAGGAGGCCCACCGTATGTCTGGACTTTGCTCATGCCCAGGCAGGGCTCGGTCGGCGGGCAGAGGGGCTCAGCACATGCTCAGAGCAAAATCATCCCCAGCCGGGCAGCGCAGAGAGTGTGAGCCCCACTGGTGGATACCAGGTGCCAAAGAACCGATTTGCCTGTCTGAGGAAGGGAAAGGGCGGGAGCCGCTAGGGAGGTGCCCTGTGGGGAGAGGACGAGAGAGCAGCCTGGCATTTGAGGATCCTGCTGCTTCTCCGTAATCAACAACTGGATGCGTTCTTGGTTCATCCCCAGATCACCACCGCCCGGCCTGTTTTGTCACTGGGGCTGCAGAAGGGCAGACGCAGGAATGCTGGGAAGTTATTTCAGGCAGGCTGCCTGGCGGAGGGCCACCGCTGTTTTCTTTCTGAAGCCCAAAAGGGAGGGTGGTGGCCTTGGAACCGGCCTCCTTGGGCATGCCACGCCGGCTGGGTCTCCTCTAGAGGCAGGAGGCATCCGTCCTGCGGCCCTGGGTCTCATCGGCCCCACAGAAGCCCCCGGCACCACTTCCACAAGCCCCAGGAAGGAGGCTATCCCCTCACCCCACAGACCCCCACCGGTGGGCTTTGGACGGGCAGTGTATTTTGAGGGTCTTCTGGGGGGAAACGATTTCACCACTTTCCAGAGAAGGGCAGCCAGAGACCAGTGGGTGGAAGCCGCCCCCTCAGCCCAGCGCTCTGAGGAAGCCGAGGGCAAGAGAGCGGAGGAGGCAGGAGAGGAAGAAGGGGGGGGGAAGCAGGTGCTGCTTCCGTCACTCCAGGACCCCCGTGTGGGGCCACAGGCACCAGAGCTGAACCGGAGGGGGGGGGAAACGACCCATGCCAGACAGCCAGAGGGCTTCTTCACACAACAGGATCCAGAGATTCTGGGACAGTGGAAAACTGGTCTAACCTTTTGCACGTTTATTTTCATGTGGGATTTTATATCATGTGTACCCCACCTGAGGAGAATTTTTGCCCTTGAAAGTGGACTGGAAATTTCTAAACAAACAAACCATCCTCTTTTGTTGAGAATCCATATTAAGAAGAACAACTTCTGACTTTCCCCTGGTGAAGTTTATTCACATCCAGAAACAGGTGAAATACCCACCTGCCCTGTCAGGAAATGGCGGTGGTGGTGAAGGGCCCTAGAGATGGCAGGACGGGCTGGGCGAAGAGAGTCCGCGTGCCCCTTGCCACCCTCCAGCTGTGTCGGGCAACTGTCCCAAAGCAGGCCGGCCCCATCTCCCCTACGTGCACACAATGCCCGACGCCCACGGCTGTACAAGGATCTGGTTTCAGAGGCCACTGGGGGTGGTTATTTTCGGAGGGTGAACGAGACGCGGCCCCCGCCTCCCTCCTCCTCCTCCTCTTCTCAGGCCCCACCGTCTGCTCCAAGGACGCTGGCGATGGATTGAAGGGCCTTTGCCCAGAGGCAGGCCAGCCTGTCCCTCACAAGGCGGGCACTGGGTTGGGGTGCCCAGTTACCTGCTGAGCCTGGCTTTTGAGGTTTGGGGGGGTGCGAGAAAAGGGCTCCTTGTTCGAGGGAGGCCTCGGTTCTCAAGGGCTGCTGTCAGAAAGGCCGGGTGGCAGAGTGGCTGGGGTACAGGACTAGCACTTAGAAGAGTCCTGGGTTCAAATCCCTAGCTGCCTATGACCTTCTCTCTCCACCTCACCTAATCCACAGGGTGGCTGACAAAACAGTTGGGCCACCTAACCCCTGCGTTGGGGTCACTAGAAGAAAATAGGATCAAAATGTTGCAGAGGGGACAGGGACATGGGCCCTGCGGCCCTGGCGCAGTCAGTATTCGGGGCCCAGGGAAGTGACCTGACATTCTCTACAAGCCCTGCGGCCCCCAGAGGTGGCCTGGCCAGGTCTGAAGGAGCCATGGCAGGGGAGGCCGGCCCACTCCTCCCAGGGTTTGGGCTAAATCCCCCTTGTCAGCCTCCTCTGGACTTGTTCCAATTTGCTGGCATCCTTCTTGAAGTGTGGTGTCCAGAACTGGATGCAGAATTCAAGGTGAGGCCTTCCCAGGGCCAAACTGAGGGAGACGAGCACGCCACGGAATTGGGAGCCTCTGCTTCTGTTAAGGCAGCCTCACCTAGCATTGCCCCCCCCTTTTTTTTTGCAGCTACATCACCTTGTGATCTAAAACCACGCCAAGAGTAGTATTGCTGAGTCAAGTAACCCTCCATGTGCAACAACTGTGTGTCTTGTGTGTTTGGAAGATGGTAGGGACACAAATGCTGGCCCAGCACAGAACTGCCAGAGCAGAAGCTGGGCCCGGGCTTCGAGGGGTGGGGACCGCCGCTCCCCGGGCCTGCTTGGGAAGGCCCCTCCCCGGCTGCCAGCTCTTGTGCCTTCGGACTCTCCAGCAGGGTAGCCCTGGGCGGCAGCGGCCGGGGAGGGGGGGGCA